CACGAAACTTCTGAGTATATACAGTGTATTTTATTTGGAAGCGCCTTGGATGCGGTAACTAAATAATTTTTGGTAATATAAATCTTGAAATATACGTAAATGATCTAACTTCAATTTTTTATCAAGGTTTGTATTTATGCGCAGTTATAAACCTATTACATTTCAAATATCCTTGAGGAAAACATATCATGAAGATGAATTTTGTTTCGTGATCTGAATAGAATCATATTATTGTTATGAATTTCGTGGATATAAAACGACAATTTAACTCAAAAAACTCGTAATTAGCAATTGTATCTTTTTATTCACTTACTTATTTGATCTCCACATCCAAATGTATTACCGTATAAGTGGAAATTTTAGCGAGACGCAAATTTAGCGATTTGTCCTTCAAAACTGGTAATTTATTTTTTGCGAGATGTTATATTAGCGATTTTCAAATGCACATTAAAGAAGCTTTTACAAATAATGGGCAATTGATTTTTAGCGATATTCAATTTTAGCGATCTCGGCACCTTCGCTAATAATGCCAAAATTAAATCCTCGCTAAAAATTCTACTTATACGGTATTACACAATTCAATGTTGCAGTTGCATTCCTTCTGACACTCATCACCATAATTTGGATACCGACACGGCTTCTCATATGTTGCCCCAAAGAAACCCACGTGGACAAACTATAAAAACAAAATTTTTAAACAATTTTTCGATGAAGAAACATTTATTTATTCGAAACATTTATTTTCTTATGTTTAGTATAAATCAAGTCTGCTATCATATAAATATCAAATCATATGAAATAAACCTTTATATTTTAATTTGTACTGATAATAACCCCCGGATTTTGGGAACATCCAAGCACATTGGTGGGAATTTTTCTTATCATAAGAGCATCGAGAATTACAATTGACACGAATTGTTAAGAACTTTCTCGAAGGTATTGATTGTCTAAAAAAAGATAATAAAGTTTTTTAATTTGTTTTAAGCATTTGCGTATTAAGGATCATACAATTAACGTAAATGTCCCTTACTTGTCAGATAATAATAGCATATAGGAAAAAATCAAAATAACATTTACATCAATTACAAATCAAAAAAAAAAAAAAAAAAAAAAAAACCGAGGAGTCTGTGACCGAATGCTTTCTAGTAATTTTCCCGTTAGCGTAAAACAGTATATCCCATCTCCTTCGAGGCGGAATTTTGAAAACGCAGTATTTACATGTATCACTTGGACGGTTGGTGACCATGTATTTATTAAACATTGTGTAAGTTTCCCTATAGTCAATGCAATAGAGCACAGCCTCTGCTCAAAAACATGCAGTTACATAATAAAAGAATTAACCCCCATGAAAATTAGCAGTATATTTAACAGTATTTTTTGGTTTCTAGCTAATTCATATTTAATAGTTTTTGCAATAAAAACAACTTTTTTTTGTCTTTTTGCAGTGTATATGTTTTCTCATTTTGAGTATTTATTTATATTAATGTTATTCAACTAGGGAAATAAGGCACTGCCTCTTTTAGTAAGTTTGACTAATGAGTAGCACAATCCACCTCTGACGTCTCTATAGGAATGAAATATATCCGAATGTAAGGAAAAACGTTAACCATATACAATCAATCAATCAATCAATATCGCATAAATATTCTTAAAGCAACGTTTATTGTTTTTCGTATTTTAATATTATAAGGTTGTAGATTATATTCCAAATAAATAACATTACATTTTTTAAAAGATATCCTTACTCATACATCAACATTTTATTGAAACTACCGTTCACGATAGCTCAGTCGGTAGAGCTCTCGCTTCGTGAACGGGAGGTCGTGAGTTCGAATCTCGACCGCGACTGACCTAAGTCGATAAAAATTGGTAGCAACTGTTCTTTCGCCAGGCGCTCGGCACTTTGAAGTTAAAGTTGCGGATCTTCCGGATGAGACCTTAAAAACCGAGGCCCCGTGTCAGCAGCAGGTGTTGGCACGATAGGATCCCTCACTGTTCAATGGCCCTGAGTGCCGAGTAAAGGTCAAAATTTGAAGCCCTACACCGGCATACGGTGACGTCTCCATATGAGTGAAAAATTCTCGAGAGCGACGTTAAACAATACACAATCAATCAATCAATCTATTGAAACTACGAGGAGTGATGAAAAATTTCGCGAAATAATTGAATAACTTCCACAAAAGAAATTATACAGTACAGAATTCAGTGTTTTTTTCGAAAGTAGTCCTCTCAAATTTTGACATGCATCTGCAACCGTTCTACCCATGCGCGGATCACGTGATATAGACGGCCTCGCGACAAGCTACAAGCTTCGCAGTGTTATGTCACAGAAGCTTAAAGATTTTTCCGCTTCTTATTTTTCTTAACATGCAAGTTATTTTTCATAATAAAATCAGTCAATTTGTTGTAAATGTCCACATCTCGGCATTAGTATTGGTAGATAACGATATCCTTTTCCAGAATGAGCATGGCGCTCATCAAGATCCAAGTACTCTGTCTTTGGAGCGTCGTTTTTTCAATGTGGATAAAATATGGGTGCCTTCCTTTTATTATTTTTGATATGTTTAAAGTCTGAAGTAAACGAAGTTTGAGAAATTTAATATCTATACATGCAATATTGTCAAGATATTCAATTTATTATGCACCCGGATCGATAGATCCCGGGCGAATATTGTTTTTATCCTGTCTGTTTGTTTGTCTGTTTATCTGTTGGATTGTTTGTCTGTCTGTCTGTTGTCAACTTTAACCTTCGCCATAACTTTTGAACCATAAGAGATAGAGACTTCATATTTAGTGTGCATACTCCACTAATAAAGTCCTTCCAAATGACACCAAGGTAAATGACATTGTGACCTTGACTGTGACCTATATGCTAAACATAGCTTTTTCCACTGTTTGTCATGACTTTTGAACCATAGGAGATAGGGACTTCATATTTGGTATACTTACTCCACTAGTAAAATCCTTTCAAACGACGACAAGGTTAATGATCTTGTGACCTTGACTGTGACCTATATGCTAAAAATAGCTTTTTACACTTTTTGCCATAACTTTTGAACCGTAGGAGATAGGGACTTCATATTTGGTATGCATACTCCTCTAATAAAGTTCTTTCAAATGACATCAAGGTCAATGACCTTGTGACCTTGACTGTGACCAATATGCTAAAAATAGATTTTTTGAACTTTGTTGCCGCCGGGCGTATAGTGTTTCACAAACACATCTTGTTTTCATACTGAAACTTGGCGACATTTCATATCACATTGAATAACAAAGGACACACCTCTTCCTCTGCTTGGTTTCACTGAGCGACAAAATATTTTTTAACATCTCTCTTCCTTCAATTAAACAATCAATCCAATCATTGACTGAACTTCTGAAAATTTTTTTTGTCTTTATAAACAGTGTACAACTTATAAGTTTCTTGGCATTTCCAAGATATGTGTTTAACTTTACAGTCGTCCGTTTCTTGGATACGACCCAGTGAACCAGCTTTTGTCACAGGTGACCTAAATATTGACGTCATTTTTCACATTGTGACGTCACAAACATAGGGAAAATCGCTTTTTTTTTACATACGTTATTTATAGAACATTTGTATAACTCTACATGTGCCAAATGTCAATCTGATCTGAATTGTGGTTTTGTAATTACAGAAATAGCTCGCAAAGTTTTTGATTACCCCTCGTAATTTGACCTTAATCTTGAACAATTTTTAGACATCTGTAAGTATTTGGTCTTAATTTTAAGAGAATTCTATGGTAAATATGGTTTGCATGTATTCACTATTTTTGGAGATAACTTTATTGCGACTTAAGTTTTTAGGATTTACAAGTAGATTTATTAAAAGTTATTTTGTTTTTAGATTGACTTTCTGTTACATTTGTTTGAAATTTGACTCAATAGTTTGAAAACATTCAATTAGTTTGTGTATTTCAAAGCTGGATGATGTATTCAATATATTGGATTGTGATGATAAATATATTCAATGCCTGGTTTTCCAACTGGTTCAAATATTAATATTCTTTTCTCTGATTTATATTTTGGTTCATCTTCACTGTGTCAGAGAAAGGCGACGACCGCGTATCCATATTGTTGTTGCTCTATTATTCTAGGTTTACATTTTCCAATTTCAAGCCAGTATGAAACTAGAGAAAATATTAATTTATGTTGATAACCCACATTTTGCAAAGTTATAGAATTTTCACTTCCCCTGGTTTCCATGGCAATAATTGATTATTTGAAAATTTTGAATGCGAATCGCACAACTACAATTACTAATCACTAAAATAAAAAAAATTCATGAAGAATATTCAAGGGACAAGAGAGAACACTCGCGGTCAAAAATCGTCGCATTTTGCAGGTTTCCATGGCAACGGTAGCCATTTTGAAACTGAATGACCACACAACACAACTACAACCAGTGATCGTCCTTTGAGGAAAGTTTCAGGAATATTGTCCTAGCCTTCTCCGAAAAACAACCTGGATAACAAAACAAGCGTACAATTTGTTCATTTATCTTACTTAACTTATGTTAACATAATATCATTTTTTATATCTAGGAAGAACATTGGTCACTCCCTACTAAGGAAAATAATACACTTACCTTAAAAAAATATTTTTTAGAACAAAAGATGACCTATTCAGCCAGATGCATATCCAAATACCAAACTCTTGTAGTATTCGATTGTTGATATTTTTCAATAAGCAAACGTGCCGATTTATTTTGAAAATGCTTTGTCTAATATAACGATATCAATATGGTATCATTATCTATTTATCTGTTCCTAAAGTAAAAGTACTTCCAGCCTAAAATAACATGTCTGCAAAATAATAGAAATGAATAGGACCCTGCATGACCATGTAATAAACATGCTTATCAACTTCATATTTTTTTTCTTGAATGATAAAGAAATAAATTACAACCGCGTTGCTCAGTCACGGAGGCTGGAGTAGTTTTTTTTTTCATCTGTATTATTTTATATCAACCAAATAGATAATTAAGTGTCCATAAAAGTGTGTATAAAACCTTGAGTAAAACTGCTACTTTTTTTCGTTAATCCACCAACCAATGGAGAAGTCAGGAAAGTATGACCAGTTGTATTAGGTTGAATATCATAATCACTGGTTTGATGTAATAAAGATGTCAAAAGTAACGCATCGCTTGTCTGTGTAGTTTCAAATGCCTCTGAAATGGAATATGAAGAAATAGGAGTCATTCATCTCATAATCTCAAGCTTCTGCAATAACTTAGCGATTTTACTTTGCTTGCATTTCTTAGTTAGCATTTTTTCATCAATTTTTTTTTTCTGCAATGCAAAATTAACTCAATATAATAATCATTAACATCTTTTCCAAAGCCTTGGAATCCATATTACTATTCCATTTTTTAACATCAACAAAAACATAATTTAAAAAAATCCATTTACACGAGAAATTTAAAACAAACCAAAATTATTAATATTAATAATACAAAGCATAAGGCATTTTGGAAACGCCTTGAATGAGGTAACTGTTTAGATCAATTTATGGTCAATATCGACAAATTATTGAAGTACAGCACAACAACTTTTTTCCCCTAGCAAAGGAAATAGAAATGTGCTTGAGTGCCAGTTTATGTGTGTTAGTGTGTTCTTGTGCCAAATTGACGTTACGTAGTTTGCATCGGGATTGAAGTCGAATGCATTCTTGATTTATAGAAACGCTGCTTGCGAGAGAATGTTTCACTTTGCCGTGCCCTTGATGATGTACATCCAATTAACCTTTTTATTTAAGATAATTTAGGAGAATAGCAAAATTTGTCTAGTGGTCCTACAAATGGTTTGAAAGTATAACAAACTTTTGGATTTAATTCCCTAATTTCGAATCAAAACAACCATTTTTGGCAATTATTCCTACTCAACATTTTACGGAAACTTCAACTATCATTTACCTTGACAGCCAAATTCATTATTACAGAATTCTATGCTGCATTTACATTTCTCCTGACAATCTTTTCCATAATTTGGATACCGACACGGTTGATCACATGATGTTCCAAAAAACCCGAGTGGACAATCTATAAAAGCAAAAAGACAATCTATAAAAGCATACACGATTTATTCGATAAAGTGTTAACAAGGATTATTTTATGCTGAATATTCTGGTAAATCTATGTCTGCTCTCAGAATTGTTATGAACTTAACGTGAAATTTAAAATTTACACAGATATTACCTTCTGTATTTTGGGGACACCCATGTACATGGTGACAATTTTTCTTTTCACAAGAACATTGAGAATTACAATTTATACCATAGGAAGGAAATGGACACTCAATGCGCTGATTTTCATCAATGTACCCAATTTTGAATTCTGGAAATTTTAAGTTAAGAATAAATTATATAAACAGTATCAACGATTTCTTTTTGGAATTTAATCTCATGTATAATTTCAGGTTGAAATTTCTTTAAGTATATCATTTAAAGATGATTGCGTATGATCATACATCATCGGTAACCCACCGGTGATTCACGTCAATTCTCTCTTTATATCATTGCGGACTCAAAACCCGTGGTTTGCGACGATGGTCATCATAAAGCTTTAAAATGTTCTTATCCTAAAGCAGTTTAGATACAAGTAAAATTTGAGATTCATATATTTATCAATAAATTTATCACACGCTTACAGGAAACGTCCGTGTAGTGAAGGACAGCTTAGCAGTACTTGTTGTTATTGTCAATTAAGGAAAGTGTATGAGAACCTTCTACATGTACACGTACCATAAGTCAGCGGCAAAAATTGAAAATGGCGATAAAAAAAAATAAAAATTATTGTTTTTACCTTTAAACAATGTTGTTGTCTGTTCTATTTTAGTACATGTATTTTGGAATCCCCGCACATTTTTTACGTATTTTCCAGAATTCTGCAGAATTTTTAATAGTTTGTTTACAGTTTCAATAATGACAGAAAAAAGAAGAATTGAACTCTGATGATAAAACTATTTTCATCCCAATTAGGAACAAGGGATGTACATGTACATTACAGCATATTGCTGATACACACTACATTCGTCGTTGAACAGTTTCCAATGTTATAGTTCGATTTAAAAGGAGGGACAGCAGGGACAACAAACATCAAAGCAATACCTCGACCCCAAGGATGATAAGAGTTTAGTGAGTCTGGTTCAGACAAACCGTAAAATTCCTTTGGGTGATATAACCAACAAATTTAATCAACACGCACCCAGAGAAGTGTCTCAATAAACAGCTCAGGAATATTGTACAAGGGTATTACAACCGTTTTGATGTGAATGACTAGCATTTTTATAAAGCTATCCAAATTAGGTTAGGTTTGAGTAAAGGTTTGATAAATGTCTCAGATTAAAAGAGATGCATTCAATTAAAATCAATTCTTTCGTGGAAAAATGCAGTTTGGAAAAAAGAATAAAGGTTAATGAAAATGGGTTGCATTTAATTGTACAGACATGCCTTGGCATCCGTTTTCTTTATCACAATATTCCTTTACACAATTACAAGTTTCCTGGCATCCTTTTCCAAACCCTGGATAACGGCAAGGGAGTTCACAATCTCGTCCTGTAAAACCAGGTTTGCAATCTAACAAAATATAATTTTAAAAATATAGTAGTCTTCAGCATAAACTATAAAAGGGTTATAAAATCAAAAGAAATACATGCATGACGATATAATAAAGGGACTGTATGTTATCTTATGTAACAATCGAGAGTTTTTCACTCTTATAAAGAGACGACGTCATATGCCGATGATCTGCTTCATATTTAGAGATTCACGCCTGCGTCACATTTAAGCCAATGGTCGGGCGACCTAATCTATCTCGTATCGTCAGCTGTAAAATATGTTTCTCGACTGTAGTATCCGGCGACTCTGAGCCGGCACATTAATTCTTAGAACATCGATAATTTTCAAAAATTAAATAATTCCAACCTGACCAACAGCCGATCGTTCATCGTTTGCTAGGCCGCAGTTTGATTTTCACCATCGACCGAAATGTACGAAAACCCAATTTCTAAATGTTATGTCGACGTCCTACCGATGATCGACTTAAAAAAACTATTTGCCGATGGTTGGATGATAATTGAACCGAAGGTCGATGGTTTTGTAAATGTAACTGGGGTTTTACATGGCACTCAGAACCATTGAGCAGTTAGAGATGTTTATCGTAAAAATGCCTGTCGTGATACGGGGCCTCGGTTTTTTAGTTTGCATCGAAAGACCACTACAACTTTCACATAATAGTACCAAGCACTTAGCAAAGGAATAGTTGCTAACTATCTTATATTATACCTAGGTAAGACCCGGCAGGGGCTCGAATCAATAAACACAGATGCCTGACGATCAAGAATGATTTGATTTTATTCAAAATTGGATTAGATGTTACTCAATATTATATAACTTTTTCCAAGAATATGTGATTAAAGATATCCCATTTTTACAAGAATTAAAAATTGATGGAACAGATCCTGATTTTGATGGAAAACACTATAACTTTTATTTTTCTATATAACCCAACATACATGATTTCATTATATATGACGGATAATACATTTTCTTGTTGCTTACATCTATTAAGACATTTGGAAACCGGTTAAGAAATCAAAAGATAAAACATGCAATATTTATTAAAAAAATATACAAAATCAGAAAAAGTATTGAAAGCTTTTCTAATTATTTACCTTTAATAATTGCCGCATGAACAGTTGAATATTTCCTAAGAAAAGAAGTAATTATGGTATATATAATCATATACGATACAGCTTTTACAATCAAGTACAACAGCAGCATATTAATTCTACGATTAACGAAGTTACAATTGAACTTTCTTACGAAAATCTAAAATGTACATAAGCATTAAGTCTTACTTTTGACGGCCCACTTGGAAGAGATAATGTTGCATTAAAATCAAATGAAAAATAAAAATGTATTTTGCCATTTTTCATCTGCATGAAAGATAAATCATCATTTTCCAACATACCCTTTCTCTATCAGTTTAAATCCGATATCCTTTAAATAAATACTATAATACGCATCACAAGGAAGAGTTACAGATAATGCACATCTGTGAAATTTTAAAATTTAAGTGGCTTATTAATGCATCAGACAAACATGTAAAATTTTGATATGTAAAAGGAACACTTCATAAATAAATTATGTAAAATGTTCGGTTTTGAAAAACAGAACGCTTGATAAAACTATTAACTTGAGAAAATATGTACTCGCCTTTAAAGTTTTCTTTGATTGTTTTGACATTTACTAGCAAGAAAAAAAAAGATAGAAACTTGGGAATCTCTTAAAAGACATGCTTTTTGTAAACGATTAAATAAAATGTGTTATTCTGTTAAAAATTTGTAGCTGAAAGGAGAATTCAAATATGTTGCTTTATTGTATGTATGAATATTGATAATAGACAAATCCTCTTATCTAGATATACTGGTGGAATATGAAAAAAAAGTTTGAAATAATTATTCATAACTAGTACTCAGACAAATAGTGAACAGTATAGAGAATGAATAATATCTAACTTCAAGAAAAAATGCGCTTACCTTCCGTATCTACAAACGATACATCATTGAAAATATTTTTTTTTTATATCAAAGAAAATATGCAATGAAGAACATTAATATTTCAACGAACTTATTGCATGTTACCAAATAATTGCCAAATTATTTCACTCCTTATAATTATTTTCAGTGCTGTCTGAAACAAACACTCCCTACTGTACAAAAAGGTTGGTGCAATTTTATCAAATAAAGGTTGATATTTCAAATCATATAAACTCTAATTTAATCTTTAATTAGCAATGCTTTTAAGTAGATAAAAAATACATGCATAGTCTTCAAGCGTTTAATTTGAACATAAGTTTTAACTACTTACGTGGTGCTCACATTAAATTGCTTCAAATAGTAATATCTATAGAAAAAAACTTTGAAATACAAATACGTTTATTTTGAATACACCTTCTGTATATGATTATAACTAGCGATAGTTTTAGTTATAGGCTGAAATAAACTGTAAGAGAATTATTTTAGTAAAACACTTTGAATGATTTGAATTAACCTTTAACGTTTTCTTCGCAATGCATTCCAACTTTCTTTCTTGATCAGTCGGTTTTCGTATCTGTTTGTTCACATTCTTCTGCTCACTGCACCCTCACTGTACCCTGTAACAGCACTGTTCAATTTGTCCTTCTGAAAACAGATTCTAAGATGTCCAAAGGGCGTTTATATTCACGAACAGAGTAATATACAAGCCACTGTGGGATTGATAGGTTGTACATACATTCCCTTTATTTTTAGGGAGGAAATAATGCTTGAATTATTTTGAATGTAAAATTATATATCTCAATTATGTACAAACATTCTAGTATTATTAACTAAATTTACTAAATAATTCTATCAATTTAAACTCAAACTTACTTACACTGTGGAGCGTTGTTCCAGTAGTACTCGCAGGAGCCGGATCTTTGATAATACTAATATTTCGACACAAGGGAATGAATGAAATTTTTAGCGGGTGACTATGGATATTTTCCATTATATTACCTTGTAACTCCAGTTCTCAATTTCAACTATAGAATGTTAAGAAGATTCCACTATGTAATACAAATATAATGTTTTCGACAACACCTTTCGATAATTTTTAAAGAAACTGTTATAATAGCTTATATAAATTATGTTCTACAGCATAACTTGAACAAGTCCTCAACCATATTAAAATACTTATGATATGATGAAATTGACCTTTAGCTGTGATACAGGATCACAGTATAAAATAGTATGCTTTGAACAATTCTTTTTCAATATTTTAACTAGATGCTGTCATGAGACAGTAATACCCGCACTAAGGTGTTTGCCTCTAAATGCACACTCCTCTAAAATTGGGCTTAACCAAGGAGAAAGTCAATATACCCGGTAATTCAATAATTTACATAATAGGGCCTCCATGTATTCATCAAATTGAACGTAATATTCTCAAGTGAACATGTGACCCATGGGCCTCGATCTTATAGGTACATGTATTTCATATTCGTAATTCATTACCAGTCTGAAATTAAACAACAGAATTCAATTAATGATGTAAATTAGGTTTGAAACAAGGGGGGGGGGGGGGGGGGGGTTATAAATTTTTGGCCCATAATTGGAACTTTTTAAATCTATTTTGTAATATATATCAAGAACAAATATTATTCAAATTAGTGTAAAGCGTTTTTGATGATTTTTTAAAAAAATGTACAAACTTTTTTATATTTGATTAGGCAGAAACACCTTGAAAGCTGCCATATACCATGTATACCCAGTCAATTTAGTCAACCCCCACCCCTCTCCCATCAACACACACACACACACAAACACACCCTATTTTCCTGTTTTTGGAAATAGGCCTAGATGGCAAAGTTAAGATAAAACATCTTTTGTAAATAATAATTTTAAATTTGTTCTTATACTGTAAATGTATCTAAAGACCTGCATCACATTGGGCTTGCGTCACGTACCTAACTTAAGTACTAGTTTTACCATTATCATTTTTAGATAGCACTGCACGTGCAGTACTAGGCCTAGTGTTGTGTACACATCATTGCATGTATGTCAGTAAGAATTATTTTGTGTTTTAATTGGATTATATTTCATGAAGTTGGAGCTATGGCAGTCGGTAAGTACACGTTTTGGTATAGATTTGGGTAAAATAGTCTGAAATGCAACTGGTTAGGTTAAAGTTTAAAGGATCAAAGGTCATCCGATGCTGCAATAAGACGAATTTCACATTCTAAATAGTTATCGCCCGTTATCGACGTTACATTCAGTAACAAGATACAGCATTTTTTTTTTCTGGGAGGGAGGGGGGATTTTCAGACCAGAATTTCCTGAGAAGCAAATAAAAGGAGAAGTTATGGTGGTGTCTGTTTTCTAGGGTGGAGGGCATCCAAAGTCTTTTTTATATTGTAGTCCTGCAAATTCGGGGGGGGGGGGATCTCAAGATACACTTCCAGTCCCTGTAAACAGTAATGGCAAATGATCATGTGACTCCTAAATAGTAGGAACTTTTTCCATTTGACCATGCATAATTTTGCGCTTTTTGTGTTATTATGTTATGTAAATTTAATGGTATAAAGGCTTTGAACCCCCTGAAGGTCATCCCCACTCTCCTAATGATTCTAACTGGAAATGTTCACAATATGACTGCATTAAATTAAATAAAAGTGCATCAATGATAAGATTGCTTGACATTTCATTCATCAACCTATCCTCCTAGAATTAGGAATGAAAATCATTCAAAGATATGGACCACATTAAAGTATTTGTATATATATAGGCTATTAACATATTTTTTTTAAAATGTAAAACAAGCAGTAGTTTGCATACATGTCATGAATAAACAGGGGTCTGGGATGGGGTGAGGGGAAGGATCGAGTTCCTGTCTCTTTACGTCTTAATGGTTGAAAACTCCTAAAATGAATGTTGACCTCAAATCTGACTTGTCCTCATTATTTTTCAAGTGGTGGTGTCTCCATTTGAGTGAAAAATTCCTGAGAGGGATGTTTAACAACAAACAAACAATTTAATGACATAAAAACACAATATTGATTTGCGTTAAGAAATATGCAGGGGATTTTTTCCATCATAAATCTTCTTCTCAAGAACAGCAAGGGCATTATTGTCCCCCGTTTTGGGGGAAAGGGAGGGAACATTAAATCTTATTTGTCTGTCAGTCTGGCCATCTTTGACAGTATGTGCATCTGTCACAATAAATTTAAGCTTGATCATAACTTTTGAATAATATGAGATAGGGCTTTCATATTTCACATGTACATTACCACAAAACTTTCTAAATGTACTATGATTTTTTAACCCAAGTGAGACCTTGACCTTAAAATTTTACCTACTTTCCAAAAAATAACATTTTAAATTAATCATTTTGAAAGAGAAAAGATATGGCATTTAAATTATACATGTATATTACATGTGAAAAGACTTTTCTAAATATATCATGACTTTTGACTCATTGATCTTGACCTAGAAGTTTAACCAACTTTTCAAAAATATTATATTATATATTTATATAACTTTTGATTGAAAAGAGATGGGTCTTTCATATTTGACATGTACTTTACCTGCAACAAAATATTTTGAGCATGCGATGATTTCCCCCCTTTGACCTAATTTTCATAAAGTGACATATGATAGGGGTGCATATTTGATACACAATCTGCCATAAATTATGGCATCCCATTCACTTAAACACAGAAAGCAGAGGACCACAATTCTTTGAATTTGCATGTATAATCTTGATATGGAAACATCCTCATATAATGTAGATTCAAGTTTTTTATGCTACACCATGATTAGGAATACATGTATTAGTTTTTGTCATGTCCGTCCTCCACCCTTCCATCTGTCTTTCCATCGAGCTCAAAGAAATTACTTTCTAGATATTTTTATCAAAGTTCATATGTTGCTGCATATACAGAGGTAAACTATCCAACTGCGGCAATATTTTTTGACCTTTACTTTCCTTTGACCTTCACTTAACTTTTCTTAAAATTAGTGTTTAGCTTTATTTTAAAGAAACCATAATGATTCAAGTTGTGTAATGAAACTTCACATGATGATACGTACTGATGTAAGCAGTTAAAGCTTTACAATGCTTCACTCTTTTTTACCTTGACATTTCCTGTGATCTTGACCTCACTTTTCTAAAATTAATGTCTTAGAC